TTTAATCCCTCCTTCAAATTTAAATGATAACCTTGCCAGGTAGAGTGTTCTTGGTTCAAGGCCCTTCTGTTTCATTGCATTAAATATATCATGCCACTCCCTTGTGGCCTATAAGGTTTCTGTTCAGAAATCTCATGATAGCCTGATGGGTTTTCCTTTGTATGTGAACTTTTTTCTCTCTCTAGCTGCTTTTAAAAATCTGTCTTTATCCTTGATCTTTACTATTTTAATTATTATGTATATGTCTTGGTCTTGTCTTCATTGGGTCCCTTGTGTTGGGAGATCTGTGCACCTCCATGGCCTGAGAGACTAATTCCTTCCCCAGATTGGGAAAGTTTTCAGCAGTTACATTCTCAATGACACTTGCTAACCCTTTTTCTCTCTTCTTCTTCTGGTACCCCTATAATGTAAATATTGTTTGGTTTGGTTTGGTCACACAATTCTCAAAATTCTTTCATTCTTAGAGATCCTTTTTTCTCTATGTGCCTCAGCTTCTTTGTATTCCTCTTCTCTAATTTCTATTCCATTTACTGTATCATCTACTACATCTAATCTGCTTTTGAATCCCTCCATTGTATGTTTCATTTCAGATATGGAATTTCTTAATGATTCAGTCTCCATCTTAAATTTCATTCCTGAATTCTTGAATGTTTTTCTGTACCTTCATGAGCATGTTTATGATTTTTATTTTGAACTCTCTTTCAGGAGGATTATTGATAGGTATGTACTTATTGCCACTGCATGTTTTAGATTTGTGGTTACCAAAGGTTCAAGGATAACTTCCTTACTATCTAACAGTTTAACTTAGCTCACTTAGTATGCTATTACAAATCTAAAGGTTCCTTTTTTTTTTTCCTCCTTTTTCTTCCTTCTCCATTCTTTATATATTAGGTATCATATTCTGTACTCTTTTTCTATCTCTTGACTCATTTTGGGGGTTGTTGATTTGATTTTGTATGTACTTAGTAATTAACTGGTCATTTTCTTTACTGTCATTTTATTTCCTCTGTTTACAGGTATTTAGCCTTAGGAACACTTCCATCTATAACATTCCCTCCAAAATACAGTGTAGATACAGTTTGTGGGAGGTAAAGTCTCTCAGCTTTTGATTATCTGGAAATTGTTTGATCCCTCCTTCAAATATATATGATAAAATTGTCAAGTAGAGTATTCTTGGTTTGAGGCCCTTCTGCTTTATTTCATTAAATATGTCATGCCACTGTCTTCTGCACTGTAAGATTTCTGTTGAGAAGTGTGTTGATAGTCTGATGGGTTTTCTTTTGTATGTGATCTTTTTTCTCTCTCTGGCTGCTTTTAATACTTTTTCCTTATCCTTGATCTTTGCTATTTTAATTATTATATGTCCTGGTGTTGTTTTCCTTGTGTCTCCTGTGTTGGGAGATCTGTGCACTTCCATGGCCTGAGAGACAATCTCCTTTCCCAGATTAGGGAAGTTTTCAGCAATTACCTCCCCAAAGACACCTTGTATCCCTTTTTCTCTCTCTTCTTCTGGTACTCTTATAATGCAAATATTGTTCTGTTTGCATTGGTCACACAGTTCTCTCAATATTCTTCCATTGCTTTTTTTCTCTTTGTGCTTCTGCTTCTTTGTATTCTACTTCTCTAATTTTTATTTCACTTACTGCCTCCTCTACTTCATCTAATCTCCTTTTAAATCCCTCCATTGTATGTTTCATTTCAAATAATGTATTCTTTAATGATTGAATCACATTCCTGAATTCTTTCCTGAGTTCTTTAATATTTTTTTGTACCTCCATGAGCATCTTCATTATTTATTTTGAAATCTCTTTCAGGAAGATTGATGAGTTCAGTTTCACTTGGCCCCCTTTTCTGGTTTTTGTGGGATTTGGGGTTGAACCAGGTACCTTTGACGTTCCATATTTATATATGGTGCCCTCTAGTGCCCATAAGCTTTACTCTCTGGAGCTACTTAGCCCCTGGAATGATGGCGGGGGTTGTAGGTGATGTTGTGGGTGCCTGTTGGGAGGAAAGAACTGTTTCCTGCTTCCCGGCTACAGTGCCTGCCTGCACTGCAATGGCCAGTGTGCTGAGCACACAGAGAGGAACCTCTATGCTTTGTGCTTGTAGTTGCCATAGGTGGAGCCATCCTCTGCCTGACCTAGCACAATGGTGGGGCAGCCAGTTCGAGATCCAGTGCCAGCTGGGAGTTAGGAGCCACACTCTGTATATTATGATGGGAGTTCTCCAGCTGCATAGCCAGCCAGGGGGATGGATCGCCTGAAGCTTCTGAAAGTTCTCAACCTTCTGGGCTGAGTGCACTGGGACAATTTTGTCCACCTGTCCTTTTTCCTGAGTAGCAAGCTGTGTGCAATCCTTGACCTTTTAGCAGCCCTCTTGCTGACAGAAAGTCTCTCACACTGCCTGCCTTTCTTTTGTCCCAGAGCAGCCAGTTGTGGATATGTTTTCCACAAGTGGCTGGAATCTCAGTCTCTCCAGGTATTCTGCCTGTCTTAGTTTTCCAATCCCAGTGATCTCCAGAGCACCATGTAATGTAGGTTCCTGCTCCTAGAGCAGATGTCCAGGGCTTGGTGTTCAGCAGTCCTAGGCCTCCACCCCTTCCCTGCTCTTTTTTTTCTTCCTCCCGCCAGTGAGCTGGGATGGGCGAAGGGCTTGTGTCTCACCAGATCACGGCTTTGATCCTTTACCCTTTCCCTTGAGGTCTGCTGTTTTCCCCAGGTGTAGGCAGTCTCCCACAGCCTTCTTTCCTGTTGCTCTTTCAGGATTAGACATTCAGAAGTTTGTCAGAATAACATCTTGGTATGCTTTATTTTCATATTATATGTGGTTTTGGAAGGAAGTTTCTAACCTCTCATGCTGTCATCTTTAAGCCTCTCACATGTTTGTTAATATTAATATGATTGATTAGGAGGGCAAGCTGGTATTTCCCTGCTGCATAGATACTTGCCACCCCCTGTAAAATGGTGCAAAATGTGAATCTGAATTTATGCATTCCTTGTGCTTATGTTTTCTTAGTCACTGCCTCCCATTGTTTAGGATCATTCTTCCCTCAGTGGACACCATGATATCCACAGCAGTGTGTCTTATATTAAAGAGTTAAAAGAGAAAATTCTCTTGTAAAGAAATGTTAATGCCTGAAACAGCTTACTGGAAAAACTATAAATTAAGGGGAAGGTGCTCAAATATGTTTCTACGCAACCTGCCAAACTTCTCCATCTTTCTTTTCCCTCCTTATCAATTTTTCTCTGCTATTCTGTTTACCTTTTGTCTCTCTCTTGATCTGTGGCCACCTTTTCTATCTGACTTTGTCCTTTGTCTGTAATTTGTTCTTTCTTACCCTTTTGTTGTTCTTCATCTGTTTAGTACAGATTATTCGGTATAATATCAAATTGAAAGTTTTAAAACCTTTTTAGTAAATACGTATTTATTTTTATAATTAAAAATTCAAATGAGATTGAGATATTTTTTGTTTTCAAAATAATTATGTGGTTTTATATTCATCTAATATCTGATTGATTCTTAATCATCCCATGATCCTTAAAAACATAGTTTTCCTTCTCTAGCAGCATTCAGCAAATAAATTGTGTGGTATTTGCTTAGGAATTTGAATTAGAAATTGTATTATTCTCTGCGTTCTCTTTTCCTGTCACTTTCATTTCATTCATTAATCTACTTACATATCTATTATATTAAAATGTTCATTTATTATAAGATTTTCAATTGTTTTTGGAAAGAAAATACTAACTAATTGAGGAAAAATTATAAAACAGCAAAACAGTCTCTAAAACAAAAGTGTTTCTTTTAATGAGGTCCTAGATAGAGTCACAGTTTTAATGAGTCTATTTTCATCATTTTTGTGGAAGTGTACTGAAATACCTTCTAAAACTCTACTGTAAGGTATAGTATTTTCCCAATTCCCCAAAATCCCTTTGACTTTTATGTACAACTCTCCATCACATCTATCAATCAAATCCAGCTTGGAATAGTTTATAGAAAGTATGTAGGATGGGGTGTTAGGAAATCTGGGTTCTAGTACAACTTATATAGCTGTTCAAATTGTGTAACCTGATTTCTGTTTTGTTATTGTTTGCAGTCTGTAAAAGTAAAATGTGAAATGTGACCTATTTCCAAACAAAATACTCCAGTCGGAGCATTTTTCAAGTTCAGGACTTTATGATCTTTAATAAATTCTCATTGTTTTTTATAATCCTGCCATTCACTAGCATTTTGATCTTTTTTAAAATTAATAAACTTCTGAGATGTTTGCTGTTCTCTATATGGGGATTAAAATGCCCATCTTCTAAGGTGATTGTGAAGAATAAATTGGATAGTGAATATAATTTGAAGTACTTAGTGAGGTATCCTGTAAAGCTATTGTTAAAGTGAGTTTTCTTATAATTTCATGACTGTAGTAGAAATAACAGCCATAAGCCTCTCATGATAAAGGCATAAAGTATATGACATAATGATAAAATATTTTTGTGGTAATTGCACTGTAAAGGAAGCATCAAGATACATACTTTTATTTTTGAGCAAATATTTAATTTATATTCAGAGTCTTTAATTGGTTAAAGAAATAACATTGTTATTTGCTCTTAACTTTTAGTAATTAAGAAATATATTCCAAATGAAATTTTGTCTGAAAGAATCATTCTGTGGAATTATTTTTGCCCATTTTGGTTCTATTTTGATGTTTAGAACCATGAGGCACTCAGATGACACTTAAGTATATTTACTAAATATAAATAGTGCACTATTAAACTGTTGCATGGGAATAGCAAATTTAATAGAGGAATCAAATGAAAAGTACCTAAAAACACTAATGGTGTTTATTGTAGTCTGATTTGTGGCATTTTGTCTATCTTGTATCTTACAATTCCATTCATCATTATTTAAAAATATTTTTTTAAATGTTGCTATATCAGAAAATATGTAAAATTCTGTGACTATTTTATTCTTGATGGAATAGATTTAAAGGTCAACACCGCTCTTTTATGTAGGTTATGGGTGCTACATGTGTGCTCCCAGAGCAGTAGTGTGAGGAAGCTTGAACTGGGATGGCAGGACGGCCTCATCCTTATGACAGTAACTCCAGTGATCCAGAGAATTGGGATCGGAAATTGCATAGTAGACCTCATAAACTTTGTAAACATTCAAGGTAGGTAGAAAATATGTATTTCACATATCAAATCTCTGATAAAAATCAATTATTATGAAGAACCAAACTGCATTTGGTTGTGGCAGGTCCTGTCAGAGGATGGGGCTGGTTTACAAGATATGAACGTTTGCATTTCTCCTTAAGTAATTTTTAGAGATCCATTTCTTTCCTTTTAATTTTCTTAGATTTATTTGAATTTTTATTTTGATTATTTTTGAATCCCTAAATAAGATTAAATAATACTAATTAAATAAATATCTAAATAAGATAGTTGACCCCATGAATAAATGCTAAGATTAATATAATTGGGAACTCTAGCAAGATAGGTTAGTTGTTTGTATTTAAAATTCTCTAATAGGAATTTATTTGGGGCTCTAAATACATTGTGTATGTAGATTATACATGATAATTTATAGGTCTGTATCAGACTTTACCTCCATGTATTTTTAACTGTGAGAGTTATATTGTGTTGTAATCGTAATACTAATGGGAAAATCAAACTTTTTGCAATGACTCTACTGGGTCACTTAAAGTTTGATGCATAAATGAGATTCTTTTAAAAATTTTCAGCACATGTATTCTTAAAGCTTTCTTTTATGCTGTGTGACTTAATGAGGAATATCTATTTAGAACACTTTATGATCTGATATTTTAAGGGGCTAACTGGCAGTTCATACCCTCCATATTACAGGTATGTAAGCATGTTTTCATAAAATATTGTGCTTCATGAGTTTTATTCAGGGGATATTACTGATCACTTAAAAATATTGTAAGTCCCTTGATAAGATGTCTACCTTTATTGTGGGCTTCTAATGTGGTAAGGACTAAGATGAAAATGTTAGTTGTTCTTTTTGACTTATAAGTACACACTGATAGTATGAGTATTGATTTTTTTGTTTTTGTTTTTTGTTTTGGTGTGTCTGTGTGCGCACACATGTATGTCCTTCAAGTATTGCCTAATTCTTTTTCTCCATTTTGCTTACATGGATAGTTATTTTGTCTTTGAAATTTAAAGAGATACTGGTTTTATCTATTTAAGTATGGGGCTATATTTACATCTGTTAGGTTGTATAAATTTTTGCAGGTGAATTCCATGCTGTTCTTCCTAGTTACTAATATTTTTCTGCTGATGTATAATACATATTATATATGAAGTGGTAACAAGGCGAAAATAAGCTGTTGTTTGCTTTATAAAGCTACATACATACATTGGGGAAATTTATAAAAACCAACAGTACTTTTTTCATCACCATTATTTCATTTCAATAACAGATATAACTCTTTTGGTCTCTATAACATCGGTAACTTCTTGGTTCTCTTTCAGGTAGACTGCAGTGGTATTCATTGTTTAAGTGAAAAATGTTAAAGAGAAATAGAAATTAAATACCAGTACTTTTTTTTTTTAATGGAAAGACCATGAAATCCTTTGAGCTTATTTTAACCTGCTTTTTGGCAAATCTTCCCACGGGAAAACAGCTTACTTTTAGGGACTCCTATTCCTATGTACTTAAGAACATATAATGTGGGATATTAAATTAAAAAAATACACAACACACACAGTTTGGGCTTTTAAAAGGTATTTTTTAAAGTAATAGTTAATTGACTGAAAGAACTTAAAAATTATAAGCAAGTATTATTAAGAACCTGTGCTCAGTTCAGGAGACATTAAGAAGTTTGTCAGAATACCATGTTGGAATGCTTTAAAGATCACTATGGGACAATTAGAGGGCAAGAGGCCACCAAACTGTGGTAGTGAGTTGTAATAAAATGAGAATTCAGAGAAGGTATTAGTATCAGCCTGAGTGAGTGAAAATGAGATTTGAGCTAATCCTTGGATATTTAGGTGGGTGGAAGACATTCCTGCCAGGACCTTCTGGAGAGCACTTTGACTGGATCTGAAGGTGGGGCTCTGTGAATACTATTATTGTTCCCCATTTGACAGATGAAGAAAAATGAGGTCAATGAAATTGCCCAAGACCTTCCAACTTGTCAACAGCAGAGCTGGGATTTATAAACAAGTTTCTTTTTATTTAAAAGTTTTTTAATTATGGTACTTTTTAACTACATATAAAAATAGAATGCATATATATATAGGACTCCCTTGTACTCATCCCCCAGCTTCAGGTTACCAACTCATGGCCAGTTTTGTTTCATGTATGCTTCTACCTACTCATCCTTTTTTTGAATCTTGTGTATTTTATTTAGGATGTTTCAGTAAAAGAAAGCCAGACTAAACCCTGGTTAGGGGTTTGTTTTTCTTGTACACAAAAAGTCAACAGGTAGGCAATGTCTGATGTAAATTTAGTGGCTTACAGACGTTAGGGTTAAAAGTCTGATTTTTTTGGCTTTTCCTCATGATCGCAAGGTGGCTTACTTTAGCTCTAGCCATCAGGTTCACCTGCCTGACAAGGAGGAAGAAGGGAGAAGGAGACAACAGAAAAGGGGTTTCATTTATAACAGGAAGTTATATTTCTCAAATTTGCAGGAGGCATTTGCTTATAAATTATTTTCACTGTCATATAGTCATTTGTGGATTACGGAGGCTGAGAAATACAGGTGGGCACATTGCCATCTCAACAGAATTGGGGATTTAAATTTACCAAAATTAAATGCCTCAGTTGGTTCAGGCCTGCTGTAACAGAATACCATAGACTGGGTGACTTAGAAACAGAAATTTCTTTCACACGGTTCTGGAGGCTGAGAAGTCTAAGAAGAAGGCACATGCACATTTGGGATCTGTTAAGGGCTCACTTCCTGGTTCAGACAACCTGCTTTTTGCTTTGTCCTCCCATACTGGAAGGCGCTGGGGATCTCTCTAGAGTCTCTTACAAAAGCATTAAATCCCATTTATGAGGCCATAGGCCCATGATCTAATCACTTCCTTACCTCCAAATACCATCATTTTGGGAATACATTTCAGCATATGAGTTTTTGAGGAACAGAAACATTTAGTCTTTAGCAGTAAAGAAATAAACTTACTTTATTGATTCAGTGTTTGCAGATAATCTAAAGTCTTGTTTAAATTTGTTTTTTGTCCTATTCACGTCTTGCAGTAGCCTACTTTTTTCAGTCTTTTTCCTTTGATTTTTACTCCCCATCTTTTCTTACTGGAATGGATTTAAAAAAGTTTATTGACTTCTCAAAGTAACAAAAATAGTTACGATACACATTTGCTTACCATTGAGGTTTGAGGGTTCGATGGGCATTGCCTTACGGTTTCTCTTCCATCTACTACAACTTTAAGGTACTTTCTTCTCTGAACTTTCTTTCGAATGTAGATTTGGCATGTATAACACTGATACAGAAGACAAGACAAGGCTTATCTAGTCATGGATGGACTTTTATGTACAAATGAAGTAGATAGTTACAAATTACTGAACTTTGTTTCTCAGAGGTTGTATAGTTATTACCTACCTGTATAGAGGGTGTGGTAGCTACCTGAGAGGTTAAAGATAATTTCAGTTGAAGTATTTAGCCTGAATTGTGACAGTATACTTTAAATTATAAATTAGAGAAGTTTTTGCTATTTAAAAAGGAAAAGAGCACTTTTTCTGTATAACTAAAGTTAAATTGGCTAGATTGACAACATGATAAAAACTCTTGAATATTTGAATTGGGTTGAATATGACTATTTAAAACTCAGATCTGCAGTCTGCTCAGGTTACTAAAGATAAATGCATCATATATTCAGTATCAGACTTTGCCGCAAGGTTTCATTCCCAACATAGAAGTACGCATGCTCGTTTCTTCTGAGCCTGCATGAAGATTGAATTTTCCAGTTTCCTTTTTAAGTCACTCCACAGTCCCAGCAGCAGTTTAGAAATGGAAAAGTTTGGTTGCTTTAAAGAGTAGTTCTAAAGTGGATTTATTCTTCAATAAAATAATATTTTCTCTTAGGTTTTAAAGAGAAGCTCTACTGCCCAGAATGGATACAGAATAAAATATTGAAAGGAAAAAAAGTTAGCTGCATCCTAGTTTTCTAAAACCTGGCAAGCTGGCAGAGCTAGAATTAGCTTTACAGATGGCATTTGGCAGCGTATCTAAATTCCACTAAGCCCTCATCTCCTGAGTTTCTTCAGCCTGTCTGTCAATTACAATATCCAATCACTGCACAGAGATGGAGAGAAATGGGATGATCACAGCTCACACGATGCTGTTTGGTTAGAAACGTCAGTGCTGCACAACCCACGGCTGAGTCAGTGACTGAGAAAATGAACTGAATTAATGCATAGAGGGGGTTGTATCTCTGAATATTTAAAGCCAAAATAACTGCAATAGCATTGCTATATAGTAGAGGGAGGAAAGCTAAAGGAAGTCTCTAAAGGAAGAAAGCTAAAGGAAGGTGAGGTAGGGGGATACTGGGAAATTTTCTGATTGTTCAGAGGAATCTTGAAGATGATGGAAATGTCAGATGTGCTAAAGTTTCCTAGTAATGCCCAAGGATGGTGACCCGGCTTTCAATGCTGCATTGTTTGAAAAAGCAGAGTCCCTTTATACTCTGATTTCAAATATTTTTTCTTGTTTTTGTGTGTCTACCTTGGCATATACTAAAGTAAGGTGTGTATTCATTTATTACATGATATCTCTGGGTTATAATTCTAAACATAAATGAACATGAGAAGGATTGAGAGAAATATGTTTGGCCTTTGTTTAATAATGAGCATTTTACATTTTTGGATGTAAAAGACAAATGTCTTGATTAATAGCATATTATTTGAAATAAATGGAGTGTTTTTATTGTCATGGGTTTCATGATTTGATTTTGTTTCATTTAAAGTCTTGGTACAATCTTCATGTAACTTGAGAATGCATTATGTTTGGTATTGTTTTCTATGAATTTTATAAATATTTAAGGAAAGATTAATTTTGAAATAATGTTTTTTATATATTTGAAAATAAAATGCAAGATAGAGAAATGAAATAATTTCCTAAAGAATAAAGTGAATATATTTTTACTTTTGGATGAATTAAAAATTAGTTGAACCACTTAAATGTAGTAG